AAACTAAATGCCAACAACAGGGGATTGATTAAATAAATAAATTATAATGTGAGTTGTGAAAGAATAATGAAATCAGAAAGTATTCTGATTGTTATACGTAAAAACAAATTACAAAACAGATCCCATTTTCGAAAAATACTGGCATTGCTGGATCAGTACAGAGCGACTTAAAGATAATATATGAGCACAGAAAAGGAGCTGAAATGAAGAAAAACAAAACAGTAGCAGCGGTTATCAATGGCAGGGGAGACTATGAATTACTGTTATTTCCTTCTTTGCATTTTTCACTGTTTTTTGCTTTTCAAATTTCCTAAATTGAATATATATCAAATTTTATTTTTTAAATTTCTAGTATTTTGTTCTCCCAAAACATGAAGCTTCCATTGCTATTCCTTTTAGAAGGGATTTCTCTTCCTAAAGTAAAACTTTTCACTTTCTAGTTTTCCAACGAACATTAAATTAATGTACATAATTACTGTTATGTATTTTGTTTTGTTTTGTTTTTAATTTATTTATTTTTGGCTGCGTTGGGTCTTGTTGCTGCACATGGGCTTTCTCTAGGTGCGGCGAGCGGGGGCTACTCTTCGTTGCAGTGCGCGGGCTTCTCATCGCGGTGGCTTCTCTTGTTGCAGAGCACAGGCTCTAGGCATGTGGGCTTCAGTAGTTGTGGCACGTGGGCTCAGTAGTTGTGGCACATGGGCTTAGTTGCTCCGCGGCATGTGGGATCTTCCTGGACCAGGGCTCGAACCCGTGTGCCCTGCATTGGCAGGCGGATTCTTAACCACTGTGCCACCAGGGAAGCCCCACTGTTATGTATTAATAAGCAGATGCTTTATTGATAAGAAATTGTCAAATTCTATTATTTTCCACATTAAGGATTATTTTAATAGTTTTGTGACTTGATCTGAATAAAATTTATCAAGTGAGTACTGGTTTCCTTGCAGTTCAACAGAGAATTAGAATGAATCAAATGTTTTAAGACTTTCTTCTCATACAATATTAACACAGTTTCATTTATATGTTGAAGTGAACCCCCCAACATGTGTACGCACGCACACACTTCCAAAATTCCAAAACTTCCAGTCATTTCTAAACACTTATATTCAAAGTCATGAGTTTTAAAACCATCCTAAAAGCAACATTCATGGGAAATAAATACAGTGTGAATTTCCTACTGTATTAACAATTATTCATTCTGAAACACTAAAGTGTTTTTTCAAGTCTGACTTAATCATACATGGCACCTTGTTTCCCTACCCTGACAAATACTATGTGTAAAAGTATAAAACTAAGTGTCGTGTACATGAAGGACAGAACCGTTAAGTCACCCACCAATGACGAGATTTTCAAAACGTGCTCCATTTAAACAATTGTACAACGAGTCAAAACATCAAGACGGGCTGAACGAGGACTAACGGCCTCTTGCCTGCACTCACAGGCAGTTTTACTTTCCTCAAATATTTGCTTGTTTCTATTTGCCAAGATATTGTTCTGGGGGAAAAAATAAAGTCCTTTGTGAAAGGCAGCTGCAGAGAGTAAGATGCAATCTTTTATTTGGCCTATCTATTAATGTCCTAGTACTCTGCGTTCTTTATCAATTTTGCTTTAATTATATATGCGATGCTGATCTCAAACGAGAAAGTTCTACCTCAACCCAGAAACTCTTTTATTTCCAATATCCCAATTACTTTGCTGGTTTCTACTTAGTGCTTCTTCCCCCTATGACTCCACCTTGATTTCCTCTTATTTTTCATCCTGAACACACACACACACATGACTGTTGATATCCCTTCTAGAAACGGACTCCTAGTTATAGTTCTCTTCAGTTAATAGCTTGGAGTAGGCAGGCAGGAGCCCATAAAAATACAATCTTTAATCTTAAGGACTTCCTGTCCAACTAGGCGTCAGAGCAGACCAACCGGCACCAAGCAAATGGCGTGACCCGCGGTGCTCCCAGGGTGGATAAACAAGCCTGATTAGGAGGTATAGTGAGCGATATTCTCCATGTTTCTGCGTCTGTAACAGTCATGTTGCCCATGCTGAAAGTCATCTTGCCCATGCTGAAATTTCAGTTTGTTTCCCCCGGAATAAAATGAAGCTTGTTCAGAGGGTGAATGCAGGAGAGTGTTTGATTTCCTTCCCTGGGTTTGGGAAGCATAATAACTCTGCCATGAGCCTTCCCACTGGTACCTAGAAACCACCATAATGCAGGAGGGGACTGTTTTATTCAGACCCAGCTGTGAGTTTTTCTTGTAGCTCCAGTGTCCTGAAGCATTTGTCTCACAGCTACCCTCCTTCTCTTTTTTAAAACTCTTACAATTGAAATAGTTCCACCTCAGCCCGTAGGCTTATGAATCGTGTACATTAGCATCTATTTTGAAACCATGCCCATCTAGGACTTCTTCCTTCTCTGTAGTGTCTCACTCTGGATTCCCTCCTTTGCCTGTGAGAAACACATAGTCCCCTGAAGACAATGAGCTGTAAGTTGAGAAAAGAATCAGTACTGGTTTCTCATAAATCTAATTTCCAATTTCCCACCCATCTGGGTTCCATGTACAAAGCCTAACACACACTCCCCTGTGGAAAATGTTTGTTCATGTTCACAGACCTACCTCCATTTATTCAGCTGTTCTTCCTTCTTGGTGGAAAGAAATAAGAAAATTCAGCAGGGGAATTTCTATTAGAAATGGATAGAGTTATTATAATTTCTATTTTTTTCTGCTGGCTGGGTATGGGAGGGGAGAGATACTTATCCATAACAAATGCATATGAATATTTTCCCATGCTAACTTGCAGTTACCTGGATTAAGTCCACAATTTTATCATTCTGTAGAAAAATATAGTAAAAGCATCTAAAAGAAAGTATGATAATATGAAAGAATCTTCCATGAGGGATAACCTGATAATATTTTCCTAATTTTGATACAACATGGAAATATAAAATAGGATTTTGTAGATACTAATAAAAATAGCATACAAATATTGGAATGACCTATAACCTATAACCGAAATAGTACAACCTATAACTGAAAATAGCCCCATAAGAGTTTTCTATCACTGAAAGGTCAGATTCACTATGAATCTTTCATTTTAGACTTCTTAGACTCAAAATCACGTTACTGAGACATTTTATTTATCATAAGTAGTATATGTTATTTCTATTTGGTTAAAATCCCTTTCTTACTTTTGTGCCAAAAAGTTAAAACATGTGATACTGAAATCTAAGAAATGTAAGGACTATCTTCTCTTAAAAATGCTATTCCTTTAATATACATGTCATCCCAACCTTTCAAATCCTATAGTACGATTAATATGGGGAAATGTCATCATGGGGAGATGTCATCATTTAGATCCAAGGGCATAAGTATGCTTTCCTCTATATCTCTGCTGAGACAGCTCAAGGATGGGGCTTATGGTATCATATAGCTTTTAATAATTCACACAGATTCTAGATCTGGTCATAAAAATTTTGATAATGACTTTGATGACAATATAAACCTGTGGTTGGAGAATAAAAGATACAAAGTGGCCGATCGGTTAACATTTATCTTTAAAATAAATAAAATCTTGTTAATGTGAATACATCCTGGAACAAGAAAAATTTTCCTTGAATGTAAATTGGTGCAGCCACTATGGAAAACAGTATGGAGGTTCCTTAAAAAACTAAAACTACAGTTACCAGATGATCTAGCAATCCCACTCCTGGGCATGTATCCAGAAAAGATGAAAACTCTAATTCAAAAAGATACATGCACCCCAATGTTCATATCAGCACTATTCACAATAGCCAGGACATGGTAGCAACCTAAATGTCCATTCACAGATGAATGGCTAAAGAAGATGTGGTATATACATACAATGGAATATTACTCAGCCATAAAAAAGAAGGAAATAATGCCATTTGCAGCAACACGGATGGACCTAAAGATTATCATACTAAGCGAAGTAAGTCAGACATAGAAAGATAAATATCATATGATATCACTTGTATATGGAATCTGAAATATGATACAAATGAACTTATTTACAAAACAGAAACAGACTCACAGACATAGAAAACCAACTTATGGCTACCAAAGGGGAAATGGGGTGGGAGAGGGATAAATTAGGAGTTTGGGATTAACAGATACACACTACTATATATAAAATAGGTAAACAACAAGGACCTATTGTATAGCACAGGTAACTATATTCAATATGTTATAATAAACTATAATGGAAAAGAATCTGAAAACAAATATATATATGTATATATATACATTTAAACATATAAATACAACTGAATCCCTTTGCTGTACACCTGAAACTAACACAATATTGTAAATCAACCACTGTTGAATAAAAAAAAAAAATCCCCCTTGAAAATTAGCTTTGTTCTCTATATTATTGATAATAATACAGGAAGTTTAACATTTAAAAAAATTTTTTTAAAAATAGTGAGAGTAGAGAAAACTCAGGACAGAAACTGGGGCCCTGGGTCCCCATCCAGACTAGGTCAGCGTGACCCCCAACAAACCACCTCTCCACCTCTTTTCTTTGGGCCTCAGTGTCCCCTTCTGGGAATCTCTTCTAGGGAGTACAAGGCCCACGCCGGACCCCGAGGGCGACATTCGTGCAGCCCGCCCAGCTCATTCCAACCGGTTTTCACACGCGCAGGTAATCCCCAGAGCCCAGGGTGCAGGTGCCGCTGGGTGAGAAAACTGATGCTGGGAAGCAGAGCTTCAGGCAGGACCCGAGCTGCTCACCACTGCACTGCACGGCCTTCCACTTGAAAGAGAGCGAGGAAAGGCATCACCGCCAAGGAACGTGAGGTAGCCTGTTTACAAACAGGGAGCCTCACTGGGCTCCCCCATCATGCTGGGCGGCTGCTGCGAGCAGGCAGAGAGGCTTGGGGGCAATGGAAGGGTTGGGCGACCAGACCTCACCATCTTATCCTTAACTTTCAGAAGCTGGATTTAAAAATAGAAATGTATAGAATGCCCGGAGGTGGTGATACTCACAACAGCAGATTCACGCTTGCACGACTGACAGGGGAACTGTTCCATAGACCCGAGAGCTGCTCTAGCCGTCCATGAAGGAGACGTTCAAATTTTCTGTTTCTACGGTGGTTTCCACAATCTTCTAAGAGATTTAAACAAAGTAGATTTTAAAAAATGGTAACTTAATGTGTCTCATCTTTTATGAGAATTAGTGAGCAAAGGTAATAATTGCAGGTATAATAAGTACGGCAGGATAGATTCTCCACTGCAAAGTCCCGAGGAAAATCTCGAGGACACAGTCATTCACTTTAAGAAAGGCCTACCCGCGGTCTACTATTTTTTTCGTGAACTGTACAATCCGTGTCTAGAACGCAAGCTTCCTGTTTTCACCAATTCATGTTTCTTGTCAAAGGATTGGAAGTAGTGGTGCAGACACTCAGTTTTGTTCAAATATCCTTCTTTATAAAAGCTTTAATCTTAAGCTTGGATTCTTTCAATTGTTTGAGCTGCTTATTGATGATTAGAATAATTGCTTGAAGACTGGAGAATTGAGATACTGATAGAATTGCATGATTTTAAATGTTTAGTCGTATCTCTTTCTAAAACAGGCACACGGCTCCTGAGATTGAGAGGGAATACCTGCCTCTCCTTCTGTATCACGCTGTGACTCTCTAAGCCAGCAAACTGACCTGCACTGAGTGACAAAGGGTCTGGTGACTTTCTCAAAAGAGAGTGGACTCCATATGCTGTTCCTGCCCAGTGATTCTAACCTGGCATCGTCCTGTCATGATGATAAATTGTGCGCACAATTCATAGTTGGAGCAGATGGAAGAGTGTAGGCTATTAAAATCTAAATCTGTTCCCCACGCCAAAGGATAATTGTTTACTTCCCCATGAAACATGCATTTCTCATATAGGATATTCTGGATATTCTAGTTTTAGTAACTGAAGCAACTATGCAATTAGGGCCACCTAGACTATAATAAAATTAAGGTTGGTTCCAAATGAAGTTAAATAGACGGCGCTCACTCATTTATTCACCAAGTGCATTGAGTGCCTGCTAGTTTCCAGGAATAGAAGGATTTACCAGAAAATATGCTGTGAAAATAAATGATATTTTCCTTTCCATTAAATACTTAAACTGTGGGCAAACTATGGTGTGTTACCACAGCCCAGACATATAGAGAGACTGTTTTAAGATATGCTATATGATGGCAAGAAGGAGATGGGACACATTTTGCTTTTTAAAACACTCGTAAATTCATTAATCTTCAAGGGTATTCAGAAATCCAGATTTCAAAAGGTAAGCCCATAGATGGAGAAAAATAAAGTAAAAGCTAAAAATGAACTCCGTTTATTGGCCTTAGAGTTTTATTCCAGCCACAGTAAAACAAAATCAAGAGATTTTAGATCCAAATTTATTTATTTATTCATCCACTCTTAATTCAGCAACTATTTATTGAGCTCTAGTATGTGACGGTATTGTGGAAACTCCTGGAAAACTGTCATTAATATATTATTGACCCCAAAAGTCACCTTGGTTCCAGAATTCACCTCAGGGCATTAGATGTACCTTTGGTGAAGCTGAATGGCATTGTTCAGCTCTGTTAACTAGACGGCCTCCAAAATAACCATTCATTAAAAACGCAAATTCTATGTATTATCCCACTGTGTGCTGGACACTTTTCATCCCTTGTCACTTACTTTCATAACAACTCAGAAGTCGCAGGTGTCATTGCTCTACTTTACTATTAAGAAACCTCTCTCAGGCAGCAGATGCTGCCCAATGTCTCACAGGTAAAGGGGCAGAGCTGGGACTGGAATTAAGGTCTGACCTGTCTCCAAGCCCCCTCATTTCACTGCCCTGCATTATCTTCCAAGGAAAGGAACATAGCTCGCAATCTCCACAAGATCTCTGAGTTCCCACTGAAGAAAGTGTGCTGTTTCATTTTAATTGTGGGTGTCAATTTTTTCTTCAATGAGTTACAGTTCAAGCATTTTGTTTTCAGAAGATGTAATTGTAAATTCCTGTGGGCCAGCATTTGCCACAATTTACGAGAGACACCTGATGTTTGAAGGGACAACAAAGGGGCATTTGACTTACACATTCCTCTAGATTTCTAAGCCATACTCCTGAATAATGATATCATCAAACCCCCAAACAACTAGATTGTGTTATCTTCACTTTCTTAGAGGAAATTCATTACACAATGGATTAAAATTCATTGAAATTTAATGTAATGTCCTGGGATTTGAAGGGATGGTATAAAGGGTTTTCATTAGAACAGTTCACTCATGCAACAAATCTTTGCTGAATGCTTCATTATGCCAACCCTGTGCCTGAAAAACAACGTTGAACAAAAGTAGATATGGCCTCTGCTCTCATGGAACTTACCTTCATTTAGTGCAAGATACAGATAATAATCACACACAAACTGCAACTCAGCTAAGTACTTTAAAGGAGAGAAACATGATGCTCTAAGGGTGGATCATGATGGGATTTGAGTTAGGCAGGAAATTCTCCTGCAAAATGATCAGAATGATCCTGCAGAATGTAAACTATCTATTTTTGTTAGAATCCATATATGCGTAAAATTAAGTCAGTTAACGATATGTTTCACTACTTGATTGCGTGGTTTTATTAGCCTTTTATCTGACAAAGATCAAATCTAATCTAATCTAATACAATCTAATCCTTTTTTTAAAAACTTACTTTCTAGAAACTCAAAGCTAAATTTGCTGTTTGACGTTGATTCAATTCTCTCGTTATTATTTTAACTTTGTTCTCTTTGTATTTGATTGCTCTGTTCTAGATGTGCTTTAACATTTAATATGTCTGAAACTTTTTTTGGTAAATTGATAAGTAAAAATAAAAGATTAAAAAATGGCATATTTTAAATTTTCTCCTAATTTGTGGCTGGATTTTTAATATTTTTTTACTGCAACCTTGGTTGAACCTCAACTAGGAGCTGAAAATTCCTTTGGATGGTTGAGAAGATTTCAAAGGAGCATTAATGGATGAGTTTGTAACAAACCCCAGGGCAGTAAATATTTCGTAATTATCGAGGGCAAAGGTCTTAAATATCCTTCAGGAGAGGATGTAAAAATTCACAGCAATCTACCTTTCACTCTTCAACTCTTATTTTTTCTACTACAAGGGACAGAATGTGGAATAAAAGTGCCTGTCCCTTGAATCGACATTCAACCTAGAATCATGCGATCTGACTACAGCAAACTGCTTAGTTATATAACCTGCCCTCCCAGATGTAGGCGGTGAGAGACGAGGGAAAACGAACCCACAGACACCTACAGGGGCCAGTGGAGATGCTGCCCCTGGGTGGATGTTCCCCTGACAAAGAAGCACCAACATCCACATCATCCACAGAGAGCAGCCTGACCAAGAGCCAGCATCAGAGGCACATAATCGCCTTACGTTGCTCACACTTAGAGGAGTGTTCTCCTATGAGGTTCTTAGCACCTGATTTTACACATGTTTGAGAGTTACATGAGGCACGCTTGGGGGAAATATGAGATTTGGTGCTCGCCTGTTTCACTATCTAGTTCTTTTTACCAGTGGAATTTGTATTTAACACAGTAACAACTCTTTTGATATTTTCCCCCATTGGTTTAGTCTTTGTTTTTTAGACCTTGGCCTTAAAAGCTCTGATGTCCTTACAGGGTGACCTTTTGCTGACTTTGGGAGATGTGTTGATTACAGAAAAAAAATCTTTTTCCTTACACAGCAAAAATACTTAAAAATGTTTGCTGTACTGGGTAAATACTGTCTTCCAAAAAACTCAATACCCAAACCTGCAAAACTACAAGTGAATTTTCTAAATCCTCCTTGAAATTAAAGTTATGCCTATAAAAGTTCAAGGTCTTTAGGATAAGATCAGGAAAGCCTGGATAGCGGCGACCTGTCTAATGCCTTGCATTCTCCTTCTACATTGTTAAGATTAGGTTTAAGTCATTGAGTTGAAGCATTGAGAATGTTTTCCCATTAATCCAGGGAGCGTGAAAGATGCTCTGTCAATGAAAGATTCCAACACAGGTATGATTTGAACGTTTACACAAGACTGTAATGGAAACATTTTAATTAAGTAAATTGCTTCTGTTCCAACTAATCTTTAATGTGTCACAAAGCAGATGGCTACCCTCTAATTCCATTTCTGTAATGGATTTACATGGGGCCTATTTTGAAAAATTGACTGGTCACAATAACATACCTCATCACATTGATAACTTACTCAAATAGCCTTTTTTGTGCTATCATTTTACATTGTACATACCTTTATCTTGGTCGTGAAAGTTTACAAACTGCACAGGGAAATACTTATTGTCCATTTGTTTATTAAACATTAGAAAGATGAACTGAAACCAAATCATATTCAGATTGGGAGTAATTAGGAAGCGTCAATGCCTTCATGGGTCCAACCTTAGTTCAACTTTTTTAAACAAACCAGTCTACACTAATTCCGAGCTGGGAACGGGGTTTCAGTGGTACTCTAGAGTCATTCACCTTTCCAACATTAGTGGGCCACAACGGCTTATAGGTAAGTAACCACACCTGTGTGAACCCACTAGAGGAATGAGACATAGTCCCTTATGCATTACCTAAATGTACCTCTTCTCTTTTAGGTCATGTGCCTTTTTCCCCCTAAATGTCACTTCTGTTTCCAAGTATTTAATACACTTTATAATGAGTTATATATTTTAAAGGATACAAAAGAGATAGTAACTGTGCTTTTCCGAGATTAAGATTGGCCTTCCACCCGGCGCACTGGGACTCCAGTGACCAACCACATCCATCTCTGTTTCTACGGCCCCAGTGACTTGAAATCAAGTAAAGGGAGATTTCCGAGGTCTGCCGATCAAAGCCCAGCTCCAGTGCTTGAGATAACAGGCAAAACTGACCCCAGATAACCATCTCTTCAGTTTTTAACTTCTCTGTAATGAAGGTGTATGCTGCCTGAAATTGTTCTGCTCCTGAGTTTGTCTCTGGAGGATTTGTGTTTCTCGTGTGTCAAAAAAGTGGAGCAAATTTGATGAGCTATTCTTTCTCTTAACTACTCAATCTTTGTTAATGTGATTCTAGTATCACACTTTCTAGCATCATGATGCCATTGGTAGGTGACATTCAAG